GTTGTCACCAAGCTCCCTACCTGGGTAGAGGTCATGGGAGGCTGGGCCACATGCTTCCAGGCTTACTTACTCGGTGGTTTATGGGAGGTCAGATCCTAGTAGGCTTTGGGATCAAGATCCTTAATTCTTTACTGGGCCTCGCTTCAGGGGTGCCTAAGTATCCTTAATAGGCCTAACACAAGGTCCTGGATGGCCTTCATACTTGGTGAATCTGATCAAATAGTACAAATCCTGATATCTATTTCATAGGATTTTTAAAAATCAATAACTGTTATACAATAATGAGATATACGTCAAGAAAACCACTATATGGGGGCTCGTGAGTTAGCTCAGAGGTTAAGAGCACTATCTGCTCTTCCAAAGGTTTTGAGTTCAATTCCCAGCAACCACGTATTGGCTCACAACTATCTATAATGAGATCTGGTGCCCTCTTCTGACCTGCAGGAATACTTGCAGGAGGAACACCATATATAGTAAATAAATCTTAAAAAGAAAGAAAACCACTATATATTCTTCAGAGGCCTATCTAATGAATGATAGAACAATTAAAAACCTAGTGGATTATGGTGGAAACACGGCTAAATTTCTTAAGTCCTTGCTGATTATGGCATATCTTAAGATTTCTGGTTCCATTTTTGAGTCAGAGTGTCAAATTCATTAACATAAAAATGCAAATGATTACACTTCCTGAGCAATATGTAACTTCTTACCAAAGAAACTCACAATAGTCTAAGCACACATGGAATAAAACTTTTAATTATTGAAAAAAAGCAGTAAGGAAGGAAGAGCTACTTTGGTTCACAGTTTAATGGAGTGGTCAGTCATGTCAGGGAGGGCATGGCAGCAGGAACCCGAGTGCCACATCACACTGGCACTCAGGCAGCAGAGGGAAGACAGGGAGTGAGGTGCAGCGGCAAGTACCTGGTCCCGCCTCCAGTGACCCACGTCCTCTAGAGCATTGGTTCTCAACATGTGGGTCCTGACCCCTTGGGGTGACATCAGTCATCCTGTGTATCAGATACCTGCATTATGATTGGTAACAGTAGCAAATTTACAGTTACAAAGTAGCAATGAAATAATTGTATGGTTGGGGGTCACCACAGCATGAGGAACTGTATTAAAGGGTGGCAGCATCAGGAAGGCTGGGAACCACTGCTCTAGAGAGGCTCCACCTCCTGAAAGTTCCACATCTTTACAAAAGAATGTCACAGGCTAGGGACTAAGTGCTCAAAGACATGAGCCTATGGGGGTTGGGTATTTCTAGTTCAAACCGCAGCTCCTCCCAAAGACATCACTTCCAAATAGCACTGACATGAATTAGAATTAAATTTCCCAACCATAAACTTGTAGAAATCACATCATATTATCAAAACCATGCAAGGTCAATATAGTAAAATAAAATTACTATCCAGTCCCACACATATGCACATAAGTGCAAAAATCCTAAGGAGAATGACCCCAAGCCAAGTCTGCCCATGTATTTAAATATTACATTGGTTTTATCCCAGATTTAACATTAGTAATACACTCAGGAGGCAGAGTCCAGCCTGGTCTACAGAGCCAGTTCCAGGACAGCCAGGGCTACACAGAGAAACAAACAATAACAAAAACCCACAAAAAATTATTTGTTTGGCAGACTAAAAAGGGGAAACCCACATATATGTACACATATGTAAAACACTTATTCATAATTAATATAAAGCAAACATATTGGAAACTCGGTGTGAGGGGAGAATTTTCAAAACATTAGAACTCCATTTAAAATCAGTAATAAGTAAAAAGACCAAATTTGTGTACAAGTGTGTAAAAGTGTATGCATATGTATATGTGATCTGTTTTCCAAACATTTCACTTTAAGTCTTAGTTCACTAAGACAAGAAATAGAAATAACCTGTGTGCTAATTAGGAGGAAATACTACTCTATTATTTACAAAGTCTGTCTACAATGAAACCAAAAGGCACCTGTGTAAATTATTGGAAATAAAAGGGAGCTGGTTGTGGTGATGCATGCCGGTAGGATTTGCTGAAGAAATAAAAGGGCTTAAGATTATTGTATTTAAGACCAATAGATAAAAAAACAGTTATTTTGCTCCATACTATTCAATACATTAATATTTAAATAGCAATATAATTTATAATATACCCTGAATGGATCTGACATCTATATCAAGGTGTCATAATATTTCACTAGGGAATATTAAGAAGATCCTGGGAAATGGAAAGATTTGTAAATCTTGAGGCAGTTGGAATCTGGAACCTAGTCCCTCCAGGTAGATGCACAACAGTTCTCATGAGAACAGGGCCAGCGAGCTAGTTCAGGAGATGGAGGTGCTTGCCACCAAACCTGACTGCCTGAGTTGGATCACATGACCCAGATGGTAGGAGAGAACTACCTTCCTGCAAGTTGTCATCACACACACACACACACACACACACACACACACACACACACGAAATAAATAGATGTAAAACAATTCCTAAGTAAAAAGACAAGTTAGGAATTGAGAGGAGATATTGGAATGCTCAATAACTGAGATTTAGTGTCAAGATTGAGAAAATGATTTGAAAATAGAAAAATGGGGTGGGGGGGGGAGACAGGAATACCCCATCACTGATGGAAAACGGAAACAACAAACACCCAGTGCTAAATGGCCAGATTAACACCATATGTTTTGCCTCTAGATTGATAAAAATTATGACATCTGATAATGTCAAATACTAATTAGGATGCGACAGACACAGAAATAAATCACATCACGCTGGTGGGATGTTAACATGGGTAAGACCTCCATGGAGGGCAATTAAAACTGTAGCAGTGACAGCTTGTAACCCAAGCTGTGAGTTCAGAGTTACGCTCACTCCAGACCACCATTTCTGGGCTGCAGCATGAGACTTGTCAAGGGGCCTCATCATATTTCTTGCAAAAGGAAACTGAACAATGGAGTACATCATTCACAGTAAGTGTTATTTGGTGGCCATGTTTTCTAGCATCCACAAAATGTGAGTTTCCATGGATCTATAATGTAAATCCCGTTCCTTTTGTGGATGGGTGCTCAAGATTGTTAAAAAATCTCTCGATTGTACCTGTGCCCCGGCAGCATGCACATAAATGTCCATAATCATATCATTTAGCATTAGCAATGTATTTTTAAAGACACCAGACACCCATCAACAAGACAATGGATCACTACACAGTAATTTGCCTTCACAATGAAATATCACATTAAACATGAATCAACTACGATGCTGTATAATAGTAGAAATAAAACTTCAGAATAATGTTGATCAAAGCAAGTCTCAGGAGACTTTAAATATTATGTCATAATTATAAAGCTAATTTTAAAAAACAAAAAGGCTATACTAGAGGTTGGGGAGATGGCTCAGTCCCAAAAGCATTTGTCTCTCAAACATGAGGGCCTGAGTTCGATCCCTCCTTGAATTTACAGATTTTTTTTTAAAAAAGGGCCAGATGGAGTGAAAGCTAACTTCAATCTCAGCACTGAGAAGGATGATTTCTGGGAGCTTAGCTAAATCAAATCTGTCCAAAGACAGAGGGAGATGTCTCATGTTCATCTCTTGGCTCCGAGTGCATGTACATGCCCCTGCTCAGACACCGAACATGTACATATGTACAAAACCACACTAAGCATCATGACTGGATATGTGTCAAGCATAGTTTTAAGATGAGCAAGGTGTATATGTTCATACAGCGGAAGATTATTCTTTGCCGCTTACATCTGATTGAGCATGATTCTGGGTACGGCTATGCTGCCCTCTAGTGTCTGACTAGTGAATGGCAGCAGAACTGCTTGTTAAGAATGAGCACAGGCTGGGCCACACTAGCCAGGCTGTAACTCGGCTTACCGACCTGGAAAAGATTGCTAGGTTTGGACACTCCTGATTTGAGTTCTCCTCCTTTCTCACTCCATACTACCCTCTGACTCTGAGAGTAATGAGTGTAACTCCACATGTCTCAAGTGAAGCCAACTGACCCTGCTGTTGGCTCTGGCCATGTGTCTCATCCGGGTTCTCCCCCACCCCATCCCCAGGATTCAGTGGTATAAGCGAGCACTCAGTGTTTTCTGGGGAAGGGGGGACTGGAGGCTGTTGCTCAGAAACCTTTGTTTACATTCCCTTTATGCAGTCAAGTCACCTTTTGGGGATGATGACCTGGTCCTCTAGGGGAAGTTGATGAATACAGAGGAAACAGCATGAGGGGAAATTAAGGAGGTTATATATGGATGTCAGGGTTTGCCATAGAGTTTGGGGAACAGAGTGTGGCCTCCACCCATGGACTGGACTACAGGACTATAGGGGCTGAAGAGACGAGTCAGTGCTTAAGAACACTGACTGCTCTTCCAGGGGACCAGCACCCACATCAGGCAGCTCACAACTCCAGCTGGTGCCCTGGGTCTTCTAGCCTCCAGGTATGCCTGCATACATATAGCAAGCATGCACACACACACCCCCCCCCACACACACACACAGAGAGAGAGAGAGAGAGAGAGAGAGAGAGAGAGAGAGAGAGAGAGAGTTGACATTGGGAGCTGGACCAGAGGCCCCACATCTTATTGTGGCAGAGATGGCCTGAAGAAAGACAGTGGGATGATCATCTCCCAAGCCTTTGGGATGTTAAAGCTTTGATCCAGAAGCCCCATGCTAAACAAGTTACTGAAACACTGTATGACCTAGATCCTTCAGTTCCCTCTATGAAGGTCATTTACTGTCATCAAGCTTCTGGTCCCAGACCTGTGGTGTGGACCTCTCATAGTGTCATCTGCTAAGTGTTCTGACTCATCTGCAATAATAGAATTGACCAGGCAGAGCTCTCTGAGAGTCTGATAAGGCAGGCGATAGGTGCATTGGTCCTGGGGATTTGAAGTAGCCTCAGGTCACACATGCTGCCAGCACAGCTAAGGCTGGGATGAGCCCCAGTTAGGGTGATGGCTTAAGGAGGAAGGTCTTCTGTCCCAGAGTGATGTCTTCTTCCTTTATCCCAGACGCCATGGAGACGGTGCTGATCCTCTGCAGCCTGCTGGCCCCTGCAGTCCTGGCTAGTGGTAAGTGTCTTTTAGAGCCTGGCTGTGCCAAGCGGGCAGCCATAGCCATTTCTATAGAAGGTTCTGACCATTTTGAATGTTAGGTTCAAGACACAGCTTCACAGCTGGCCAGGGACCTTACCTTCAGTCAGCAGAGAAAAACAGATCCCAATCGGGGTGTCCTCCACTCTCCCTGCATGGGTGGGTCCAGCTGGTCTTCTGTTACCCTCTGTGGGTACCTTGGGCTCTTGTGGACCTGCAGCCTATAATTAACCTACCTTGACCATATATGCAAGTCATGAGTACCCCTTGGTCTCAGTTTCCCCACTTGTCACTAGATGATAGATAGTCCTAGCCTTTTAGAGTAAATGAAGGGCATGCTGTGACTTCAGGACCCCATGAGGCTGAGTCATACCTACCATAGGCCCTGGATGTGGACCCTAAGCCCAGCAAACCCATCTTCCAAGATTTCCCTTATCTTCCCATGATCCTGCGTCACAGGGGTCCTTTAGTGGGGAGAGGTTGCTGTGGGACAGGTGAGACATTGCAGCAAGCACCTCTGCCTTCCTCTTGACCATGTCTGTCTGCTTCCCCAGCAGCCGAGAAGGAGAAAGAAAAGGATCCATTCTATTATGGTAAGTGAACTCGGTAGCCCCCCGGGGTGTGGCCCCATCTGAGAGGGACAAACATGATCTCTTGTCCCTGCCCCTCCTCCACCTCACATCCCTGGTTCCTTTGCAGACTACCAGACTCTGCGGATTGGGGGATTGGTGTTCGCCGTGGTCCTCTTCTCTGTTGGGATACTCCTCATCCTAAGTAAGTGTGCCTCCCTTTCTCTGTGACTGCTAGACAGATGGGGGCAGTGTACAAGCTTATCCATTGCCAGTCTATGGGAGAGTGGTCTTCTTCTCCATGGTATCTCCAAGACCAATACAGGGCAGGGCATATAGTAATGCTCAGTAAAACCAGAAAGGTGAGAAGGCTGTTCTCTGCATCTCTAGGGCAGGGCCTCTGCCAATCCCAGGAGACAGATGCCATTCTCCTAGTGTTCCTAGGAAAGTGTCTCTATGTGTTTTCCCCAAGAGCTGTGGCATTGCTCACCTTATGAAAGGGCAAAGTCCATCGCAGCGGAGCAGCTTGGTCCAAGGCAGCAGACATCTGTGGCTTGTTCTCATTAAGGTTGAGCAGGAAGCAGAAAGTTCAGAGTATAACCAGAAGCAGCTATCACCTCCAAGACCTGACCTCAGCAACCCACTCTGGTTAACCAGGCTCCCCTCCCAAAGAGTCCCTCCTCGCACAAATAGCACCCCACTGAGGATCGGGTATTTAGACACAACTATCTGCGGGGTGCATTTGGCATCTAAACCGTAGCACCTGGCCTGGGTTGGCCCTGCCCCCCCCCAGGGCTGCTTCATTCAGTAGATGTAGTAGTGCAGGCATGCACTGTTTGTGTCTGGCAGTGCCTTCGGCCTGTATAGATTCACAGTAGGTTATGTCAAGCCTGGCCTTGGGCTGATGTTGGGAGCATGACCTTGACTGACTGGTTTCTTTGTGTTTCAGGTCGCAGGTGCAAGTGCAGTTTCAATCAGAAGCCCCGGTAAGAGTGTCAAGGCTGTGGCCAGCAGGGGCAACAGCGGAGGGGATAGGGAGAGGGTGTAGTGTGAACCCAGTGGGTTGTCTCAGAGAGAGAATGTGGGAGGCTGAGGTATGAATCTGGGGATTTCCAAGTGACTTTGGAACAAAGGCAACATCACAACATGGAGAGTAGGCCCTCGGGTGTAAATTGGGGAAGGAACACTGAGAAAGAATGTTCTAGAACCTTGTCTGGAGGCCTTTGAGGCAGCTAGGCTTGCTAAGAGGTGCAGGGCTGATACACTGTCCCTGCTTCTCATCTTTTCCTGGGGCTCTGTGCACTGTGTAGATACCTGACCTTCCTTTTATACCATACAAGGTTACACCCCTTCATTAACACAGCCATGGAGGCCATGGATCTCAGAGTCTGTGGCAGGCACACAAATCCCACGGGGGTGGGGAGGGGGTCGGGGTGCAGACAGTGCAGGGTACTCCTAAGTTCTCTTTGCCTCTGTCCCTGGCGGTCCTCAGGGTTTGAATCCTGTAGGGGGCTCTGAGGGGTGGGGTCCTAGAGGCACTACTTCAGGGAAGAGAATGGGGAGGCACTATGGTTTCCCTGGACACCACTGACAGTGTGTCTCCTCTTGTTATAGGGCTCCAGGAGATGAAGAGGCCCAAGGGGAGAGCCTCATCACTACAAACGGTAACTGCCGTGAAGAGTGCTAGTTGAGAGTCTTCCCATGGTTTGGGGAAGGACTGAACTGGGTACCATGAGCTACTTTGGCATTCAGCAGACATGCCTCTGAGGTGCCAGGAGAGGGCTCTGCAGGACCTCTGTGATGTTGGCACTTCCTCCATACCAGAGACTGTTGTTTTACCTTCTTCACAGTGGCTGCACTTTAAACTGCTAGTGGGTGTGGGGGGAGGTCTAAGGCCATAGCCTGGGGGAATTCTGCTCCCCCCACCAGACAATGGTTCTGTTGCTGCTGCTAAAGTTAGTTCTACCTAAATCTCTAAAGTCCTGATAAAACTGGAGATTCAAAGGCTAGGGTGAAAAGCTGTGAGCTTAGAGAGTTAGAGTAGCAACTGGCTAGCTTTTTCTCTTTGCTGACATCCCAGAAGCCACTCCCTTCCATACTGCCTCAACTAAAACAAACAAATATGGCATTAAGTTACCCCCTGCTACTTCCTGTCAGCCAGTTGCTAACCCCACTTTTCTGAGCACAGGTTAATTTTATTTCATTAATGCAGATACAACACATCTTTACATAGTTAACGAATGCCGTATGAACAAATGTAACACATCTTTGCCTGATTAAACGAATATGCCACAACAAAAGACAAACTACTAGCAATAGTCATTGTCTACAGAGTACCTGCTTTATACCAAGCAGACCTCATCTTTACCGGTGTGTGAAACTGGGAGAGGTAGCCATCATTACCCATATTCAACATCCTAGGTCCAAGCCCTTGTAACCAGTGACACAAAATCCTAGTATGAGGCATAAGTGAAGGTCCGGCATGGCATAGCCCCTGGGTGAGCAGCCTACACTACACCAATCTTCTTTCTCTTCCAGCTGCGGAGCCCCAGAAGACAGAGAACTGAAGTGCCAGCCTCCAGCAGGAAGGTAGATGACAAGCAGCGTCTTGCTGCTGTCTTCATTGAGTTTGGGCAGTGGTATCGCCCTAACTTCTTCATGGGACGCTTCTTACCAGTTCACTCTCAAGTGTCTCTCAGAGGTCGGGGAGGGACAGTGGACAGCCCAGTCCCAGAGACACTTACCCAAACACACAAGCACAGGGAACCAGGGCTTCTAAACAGCCTCGGGGCACTGTCCCAGCTTCCACAGGGATGTGACTTCCATGTCAAAATAACATTGAGAATGGCATCCAGTAATGAGCCCCAAACCACTTAAGCACACATGCACACACACACCCCACACACATACACACATATATTATGAAGCTTTCTAATACTACTCAAAAGTAGGGAAAATAATATGCACCTGCCCATACCTGCACTGTCCTCAACAGTTGGGGCTCACTGTCTGTTCATTGCTCACTGTAGGGTGTGCCAGAGAGTACTTAGTGATTGGATAAATCTTCCAGTCAGTTAGCAGGCCGTATAGGAACCTTCAGGAGCCTACCAGGAGAACTAGGACATGCAGGGCTGGCCCCATTTATAACAGAAAAACCTGCAGTCAGAAAAAGCCATTCAGATAGTGTCCTGGTTAGGGTTGTTACTGCTGTGGTGAAACACTGGAAAAAGCAAGTTGGGGAGGAAAGGGTTATTTGGTGTAGGCTTCCACATTGAAGAATGTCAGGATAGGAACTCAAGCTAGAGGGGGACCCAGAGGCAGAAGAGGTCGTGGAGGGGTGCTGCTTACTGGCTTGCTCCACATGGCTTGCTTAGCCTGCTTTCTAACAGAACCCAGGACCAGCAGCCCACATGTATCCCCAACCACAATGAGCTGGGCCCTCCCCCATCACTCACTAAGAAAATGCCTTATAGGCTTGCCTACAACCTGATGTTATGGAGGCATTTCTTAGTTGAGTCTCCCTCCTGTCAGATGACTGTAGCATGTGTCAAGTTGACACAAAACTAGATAGTGCAGACAGTATGTGACAAGCTGGGCCCTGAATCTAGGTCTTTGTAACTATAGGTTAGGGTCACCCAGAACACCCACACACTGTGGTCTGGATGGCAGACCCTGGGATATACAAAGGCAAGAAAGCTAACTTTGTCACCTCACTTCTGCCCCAGCCTCCACACAGTAAGACATAATGGACAAGTGCGAAACTTTAGCTGTTGTTGTAAACTAAAGGTTTTCTCAAGCCAGGCATAATGGAGCATACCTGTAAACCAGCCCATGTGAGATAAAAACAGAGAGGTCAGAACTGGCTAACAGTGAGTTTGAGGTCAGCCTGGGCTACATGGACTCTGTCTCAAAAATGGGAAACAAACAACAGCAATAGACAAAACAGGACAAAAAACTGTCTTGTGTCATGGGCAGCAGCTTTTACTATGATGGCAATACTACCATGAACCTGTACAGTGTTTTAGTTCCTGGCAGTGTCTGCGTGTGTCTCCACATGTCAGCCCCAGGCAGCAGAGCTGGGCTCACGTCATCCATCTTTGAGATGGATGTCTTAAAGACACGTGACCATTTAAGCAGGGGTCTGTTAACAACTCCAGCCCAAAAAACTACCCGTGCCCTCCCCCCAGCCTCCACCTGCCTTCCCTGCCTCTCAGGCTTGTCTGGTCTTCACTGGACCTTGGGGGGACTTCAAGGGCATGCCATCTGAGGGATTTATGGGCAATGGGACTGTGCTGAAGGTGGAGAGAAGACTAGGTATGAGTACCAGAAAGTGTCTGAGCTTTAAATGTGAATTCTTTGCCTCCACAGCCTCCAGAAGCCGAGGCCAACTACCTGATCCTTTAGCGGCTGGTGTCAAGGCTTGAGAAAACCGGCTACTTCAGACCAGATCTTTCCTTCCCTAGGAGAAGCCAAGAACATGTGTTCCCTGTGCCTCTTCCTGTCACTGCTAACCCAGTTCTGTACTTAAAGATGCAACACTCATAGCCTTTCCCTTCTCCTTGCAACTGGGGGTCTGGCCCCTTTCTGTGCTGTGTCTTTGTGTGTGTGTGTGTATGTCCTGCTGACTGTGGTCTTGTGGCTACTCACTCGTGGATTTCGTTGTTGCTGTGAACTGTGTGTGTGTGTTCCCTTACTTGGGAGGGGCTGGGCCATGTTGCCATCCACACCTTGTGCCCTCCTGTTGCCTCCATCCTCTCCAGCTCTCTGGAGTCTGCTCTGGCCCTGGAGGAGTCCTAGTCCCATCTCTGGATTTAGGTTCAAGGGAGAGTTGTACCCAGGGCAGGGTCCCCAGCTGTCATAGGACTGAGAAGTGTGTAATCATCTTCATTGTTGCTTTTCATGGACTCTCAGAAGAAACTTGCTCCCCATTCCGCCAGTTTTGAAGGTCTGTCAGCAGCTGGAGAGCTCTAGGATTGCCTTCCTGCAGGCCTCCTGGGGTCCTTTTCCTTTTAGGGTGCCCACTGCAGAGTCCCAGTCTGCCCAACCCTTGTGGAACACCCAGGAATTCCAGGTTCTTCTGCTTCTGTGGAATGTGCTCCTCACGCAATAACTGTAGGCTCTGGAATCCCCCTGCCTTTTTCCACCTTCCCTGCTTCTGAGACTTTAATTTCTAGCCCAGTTTATTTGACCTGAGGATTCCTTCCTTCTCTGAAGCAGGTCTCTGGCAGGGGGTGGCTGAGGGGATAGGTAACAGAGAGGATGGGGTGGGCCTGCCTCCCTGCCTTGTGGTGTGGGTCTGGGGCCACCATGCTGTCCTTTCTCTGCCTGATGGGGTCTGAGTGGAGAGGGATGGAAGGGTGCAGGAGCAGCAGGGCTGCAGGTCAGAGACCAACAGGGTAGGTGCAACCTGGGTGAGCAAAGGCCAGAAGTCAAAGGTCATCAGAGTGGAAAGTCAAACCAGACCCTGCCCCACCTGTCCATTGTGTATCCCTTGGAAATTAATCAAACCACACTGTGTACCAGGACTGCTGATCTCTGTCTTGTGATCTATCCTCTGACAATGGAAAAACAAGTCAATAAACCTTGTTTCCTAGTGACTCTGAGTCTGAGGGTTTGGGGAACTTGCAGGACAAGAGAGCCTGCCCCCAGTCAGAGGGAGGAGATAAGACTGAAGAATGGGGGCTCTGTAAAGAAGGGCTCCTGGAGCCCCACTTTGAACCCCATCTGCCCTGCTCCCTTTGGTCTCAGGTTCTTCTCACAGAGGGGCAGGTTAAAGTGGACAGCAGCCACAGAAGCTTAGTGGCATAAAAACAGTAACGTAGAAAGGAACTTGCAAGCCTCCCATTGGCATTCCAGTTGAGTTTGGTGATTTTTTTTTAAAGTACTGTTGGCCAAACAAACACAGCTGCAGGCAGATTCCATGTAAAGGTGGCAAGCTCACCCCTGTGCACAGCCCAGTCTCCAGGCTTCTGTGTGTCTTGGGTGAGACACAACTCCTGAAGGTCAAAGACTAAGCCTTGATCTAACCTGAGAATGCACAGAACACCTTAGGGTTTCAAGAGAACCTCTGTAGCCCCTGTGAGTTCTGAGTTGCTTCCTGCCAAGGGGCTGTAAAACACAGGGTTGAAGGAGCAGATGGCTTCGCCCTCTTGCTAATGAGATCTCTAGACCTGCTTGGTACATTTGATACACCTGCTCTTAATGTGCTTTGCCCCCTTGGAACTCTGAAAAGATGGAATCTTTCATCAAGAATCAAGTTTAATATTGTCAAGCCAGTGACGGCGGGGATTAGAATATCTCGGTCAAATGTGGACTTGGTAAGGAAGCAGATGAGCTCCGTTCACAGCACATCAGGTGTTCGTGTCCTTGCATGTGGCCAAGACCCTGACAGACCCCAGACACACAAAGGATTGTGGGATTATGCAGGCATTACTAAAACCAAAGCATTAAACTCTGAAGAAGTCCACTGAGAGGCTCTGATCTTCCTTCATTACATCAATAAAAGAGAGTAACTGTCATTTTACTATGTGTCGAAAGGCACCCACTTAGTTTGCTTGCCGTACTAACTGGTTTACTGTCAACTTGTCCCAAGCTAGAGTCATCAGAGAGGAAGGAGCCTCAGCTGAGGAAATGCCTCCATAAGATCCAGCTGGAAGGCATTTTCTCAACTAGTGATCAATGGGGGAGGGCCCAGCCCATAGTGGGTGGCTCCATCCTGGGCAGGTGGTCTTGGGTTCTGTAAGAAAGCAGGCTGAGCAAGCCAGGGTAAGAAAGCCAGTGAACATCACCCCTTCATGACCTTTGCATCAGCTCCTGTCTCTAGGTTCCAGCTCTGCTTGAGTTCCTGTTCTGACATCCTCCAATGATGGTGTGTGATCTGGAAGTATAAGCAAAACAAACCCTTTCCTCCCCAACTTGTTTTTTGGTCATGGTCTTTTCTCTGAGCATTAGAAACCCTAACCCTGGCAGTGATGGTGCATGCCTTTAATGGGCACTCAAGGAGGGAGGGGCAGGTAGATCCCTGTGAGTTCAAGACCAGCCTGGTCTACAGAGTGAGCTCCAGGACAGCCAGAGCTACATAGAGAAACCCTGTCTACAAAGCAGAAAGGAAGGAAGGGAGGGAGGAAGAGAGGAAGGAAAGAAGGAAAGAAAAGAAAAGAAAGCAAGCTTAATTAAGACAACTGGTAACTCCACTTTATCCTGAGCTGGACAGTCTAGTTTTACAGATTCTCTCTTGTCCCCCAAGGCTGGTCCAGGGGCCACAGTAGCTTTAGGGAGCTGGAGCTGGACTCAGGCAGTGTTCCCAGGGCCATGTGTACACTACAGAGCTGGCATCTGGGGAAAGCTGTCAGATAAAGGGAGGGGCAACCCATGGCTCCTGCAACCTTATCTGCTCCATGACCCTTCAGGATGTGACTGAGCTAAACCACACCTCAGGCTATGCCCTCAGGAGGCTCCAATGGCAGGCCAGTGGTCTGGAGACCAGACCCACAGCGATGGAAATAGTACAGTAAGGCATCTACCAAGCTCTAGCCAGATGCAGGACTGAGGTTTCACGCGAGTTCACCCTT